GACCCAGCCATGAGCGGGGTTGATTTGCAGCATTTTCAGGCCGGGCCAGCCACGACATTTTTTGTCATCAACATGGACGTGTCCTAAGATGGCTTGGACAACCTCAACGGCTTGGCTCACTTTTGTACCTTCGAACGTGGGTGCTCCCTTGGTTTGATCTTTACCTTTCCTTTTTCCAGCGTTGCCTGAACTATTGAGCAACATGTTGAACTTTGTGCAGGTTAAAGACCAATCCTCCTGAATATTGCCTTCAGTTTCGACTTTGGAAATCCCCTCAGGTGCTCCATGGGGAGACTTTTTGGGGTTCCGTTCTTGATTGCAATTGGGTTGAATCTTTAGACTTTAACTTTGTTGGGAAATCAAGAGTCTTCCGTTAAGACCAGACAAAGTTCAACACTTTTTGCAGAGGTGTCAACAGCAACCAAGTTGCTTTTTGTTTGTTCCCGCAGGATGGCATTTTGTGATCATCGAAGTGTTCCAGGTGTTGGTGCTTTGCGGTGACTTTCATCTTTCGCTTCGGGCGAGGTGGCCCTCTTGAACAGAACTGACTGAAGGAGGTGCCCAGTCCAAAACACAGTGAGCGAATGCATGACTTTTGAAGAAGCATCAACCGCAGCGCAGAAGGCTTGCCTCATGTTGGCCCGGGCTTGGCCCTCATGCTGAGGACTGCTCTGTGCGGGTCTGGGACATCGCGGCGGCCTGGCGCTCACTACGGGGAGGGTTGGGGCGGGAGGGGGAGGGAAGGCCCAGAGGGAAGGCCAAAGAAGGCCTTCTTCAGGGCTTAGACATGAGCTAATTTTCTAAAGAACACTTCCCCGTTCTTTCCAGGGATCCGAATTTCTTCTCAGAAAACCATGAGAACCCCAGAAACAGCGATCAGTCTTTGAAAAGAACGAGGGTCGAAAAGCAGGGGGGGATCAACCCCTAGAAATTCGGGCTCCCCTCCCTTTTCCCAGACCCCAGATTATTTTTTTGAAGGGAGCCAAGGAGAGCTGGTGTCCAAGCTTGCCTTCGATGGAGCCTTGGGGCGCTATCAGGAGAAAACGAGTTCCGTAAGGACAGGGTGGGTCCAACTTGTTGCAGAGCAATGCGCTTGGAGGGTTGTGAACATTCCAATGACGGGGCCTTTTTGGCAAACTTTCCTCTTTCGCTGGCCCGCGCAGCTACCGCTTTTGTCGGCAACCAGGTAGTTCCTTGAGCTTTTCTTGATGGCAAACCAAAGCACCACCTAGTTTTTTTGTCTTGTATTTTTTTCCCCGGAGATTTTGTTGTTTTTTACGGGCCAAACCAAACAAGAGGTTCGGTTGGGGCGGAGAGAACCGAATTTTTCCCCTCCCTTCACATGGCAGTGGCTCAAAAAACCGGTACCAAAATGGGTTGCCCTGGTAAGTGGAAACATGGACCAAATCCTGCATAACCCCTCCTGGTCAATTTTGAGCCACAGCCACATCTGGGCGGGATCACTGGGAGTCTGGGAGCGCCCGAGGCCAGCTGCGTCTGCAACTGGGGGGTGGCAAGAGCTGCCGCTTCGGCTTGACGTCGCACAAGTTTTTGGAGGGGTACAGCTGACAGGAGGGGGTTGGAAGACTACTTTCCTTTTGGGGAACCCCTCTGTCCACTTCCATGTTTGTCGGTGGGAGGGTACCATTTTTGGGTTGGTCTAACCATTTTTTGGTTGGTTTTTAGCGGGGTACCATGTTTGGGTTGGTTTTTGGAGGGGTACTTTTTTGTGGGTTGGTTCAAAGAAAACTAACCATTTTTGGGTTGGTTTTTTGCGGGGTACCATTTTTGGGCTATTTTTTGGGTTGGTTCAAAGGAAACCAGCTGTTTTTGGTTGGTTTTTAGCGGGGTACCATTTTTTGGGTTGGTTCAAAGAAAACTCACCATTTTTGGTACTATTTTTGGGTTGGTTTTTGGGAGGGGTACCATTTTTTGGGTTGGTGCATTTTGCTCTGATGTTAGGACTTTAGCTTTTTGCCAACGAATGCGTGTTCCATTAAACCGCTAGAAGTTAAAAGCTTTTATCAGGGGAGCAGATTTCGCAACCGAGTTTGGGTTGGTTCAAAGGAAAATCAAAGAACACACCGCCACAATTTTGGGGGGTCCCGAACAAACAGATTCGCATCCTATATGTATCAGAAAAGAAGGAATGGTGGTACTTGATCCTGTTTTAATTTCGCTGGGTACTTGATTCGTCGTTATAGGCATGTGCAGCTTGAACAATGGGTTTGTGGTGCATGGAGTGAGTGGTGTTTTTTTTTTTTGGGGGGGGGCCTTTCTGTGCGGCTTCCCCGATGTCTTTCTAATCCCCTGAAATGCTTGGTCTGCAGAATGGGACTCTCTTACATACCAAAAACCGGCTTTCCGAATCCCATTTTGAGAAAAACCTCCGCTCATTTGGGACAGCTACAAAACTGCTGTCTCACTCCGGTCCGCCAGATCTGAATCGAGCCACAGATGTGTGGACGTTTGAGAGGGCGCACGAAATAAGCGCAGGTCG